AAAGGGGGGCTTCTGATGGAAAGGGAGAATCTGGTGAGAAAGAGGGGATTCTGGTGTAAAAGGGGGGCTTTAATATAAAGGAGAATTCTGATGTGAATGAGGGAACACCTTTTTTTTTTGTATTTTTGCATCAAGTGCCTGCTTAATATTCATACCAGAGCCTATCTTGGATAGAAGGTCTGATATGGATTTTGGAGGGGCCCACACATGTTTTACTCTTAGGTATTTTACAATGGGGTGCCTTGAGATTTTGCATGCTTTTAAAGGGTGCCGTGACCGAAAAAAAGGTTGAGAAATGCTGCTCTATACCACCAGAGTAACATCTTGTAACCTTGTTACTTAAATTTGTTTGCAGATGGTAGATTTGTGTGCAGGTGATAGAGCAGAGCCTCGTTGATCTGGTGTAAAGCTGATGGGCAAACCATATTTCAAATTCCATATGTATGGGGGGAGGCGGGGGGTGTCATAGCCTTCTGGAGGGGGGACTAGGCTTTTATAGATACTGCACAACGAGTGTCTGCATGACATTTGACCTCTCCAGAGATCTTCCAATGCAGCAGTCATTGCAAGCCCAGCTCTGTCCAATATGTCAATATCACAGTCTGGTAAAGCTGAACTCCAGGCAGATATAAAAGATATTAATGTAGCTCTGCAGTCATTAAAGGTGGCCATACACTTAACAACCATCGCAAGACCTTAGTCTTGCGATGGTTGTAAAGTAATTTTAAAAAATGTACGATCTGCCCATCTTGGACAGGCAGATCGTACTCTCGATCATCGCAAGCCCGCCCCCCTGAGGGGCGGGCTTCCGATGACCGCAATGCTGAACGGGCAGTGTGCGCGTGCGCACACCGGCCCGTTCGGCATTTGGCTCCCGAGCACCGTTCAAATCAGCCGAAAATCGTATGATTTTCGGCTGTTTTTCTAGCATGCTCCTTAAGGTCCCCACACACCTTACATAGTTACATAGTTACATAGTATTTGAGGTTGAATAAAGACATTAGTCCATCAAGTCCAACCTATTAGGATCTCATTCTAGGAGTACCCGTACCCCTGTATATTACGGTCCCTTAAGAAATCGTCCAAAAGTTTCTTGAACAATTCCACATTATTTGCTGAAATCACCGCCTGTGGCAGTGAGTTCCAGACCCTAACTGATCTTACTGTGAAACGGGCCGGTGTGCGCAAGCGCACACCGCCCATTCGGCATTGCGGTCATCGGAAGCCCGCCCTTCAGCGGGCGTGGCTTGCGATCATCGCAAGTACGATCTGCCTATGCAAGATAGGCAGATCGTACGTTTTTTTAAGTACCTTACAACCATCGCAAGACAAAAGTTTGGCGATGGTTGTAGGGTGTGTGCCCAGCCTTAGACAAAAGACGTGTGACCGTACAGTAGAAACGGTCGCACGTCTTCATTCACACCGCTCGATTCTCGTACGATCGTGGGATTTCCCACAATTCTCGTACGAGAATCGAGCAGTGTATGGGCACCTTAACACATCCTTAAATTTATTTTTTATTGCAATCAGTATAAGTAACAACACTTGACCTGGTATTAGGCTCTTGCAATACAGCTCAGAGATGGGGTTAGAAAAACAGTGCAAGGAACCAGTCAGGTGTGCTGCATGCTGATAGATGAGGGAGCATGGTGCTAGAGAGATAAGCTCATCAGTGTGCCAGCTGTGTAAATCTCAGGATTGGATGGACAGAAATAGGAATCCCTTGGCAGGTAAACAGCTCCCATATATGTATCTCATATAGGTGCCTCATCTATGCATGCACGGTCTATCATGACAAGGTTAGGAAGCCTAGGACCTGGAATTAGGCGTCTGAAGATTTTATAGTGGAGGAGTATATTGTTTTAAAGGTTACATTTGACTAGGGTTGCCACCTGTCCAGGATTCACACGGACAGTTCGGGTTTTGAATGCTGTGTCCAGGTTTCATGGCAGCAGAAACCCGGACACAAGATGTCAGGCAGACAAGGGCAACCAGAATTAAGATAGGGACTACTGGCTCCCCACTGAAAATAGTCTGACTGTGATATTTACATATGAATAAGCCGCGACTCATTCTCCCAAGAAAAAAAAATGGCCGTGCGTCGCTAGAGTGATCGGGTTTCGCTTGAACAAAAGGTGGCAACCCTACATTTGACAGGTCAGGGCTTGATGTGTGGGCCGCACATCCCATAAGATATCATATTGGACGACTTCCGATTGTTTATATTTTATTACATTTGTCACAACTGTGCACAATGATTATTACTCCTCTCAGCAGAGACGTCCCTGGAAATGATGGCCTTCTGTGTCGCTGGCCTCCTAGCACTCGCATGAGCCTCTGTCATTGTAATGATAAACAATAAGGTGATCAGCGCCAGTAGGTGAAATGTCAAAATAAGAGCTGCCGAGCACTAAGGATATCAATAAATATCTGGAAAATGTGAAAAACAATATTGTGCCGAGCTAATAATCACGCACATCTAATACATTGAAACATATATAAAAGAATCGCATATATGAGCCAAAAACAAATAAGGCATAAAAAATATATCTATACACAAAGAAAGCAATAAAGACAAAACAAAGTCCCAGAAAAAAAGAAACCAATGGTGGTCGTGCAAGAAAATTCCTCACAGCCAATACGCATATAACTCTCAGGTAGGGATAATCACGCAATGCAGGCAGACCTTCACCTCCACCCAGCGAGTGATGATAACAAGCGAGTGCTCACCTGGGGAAGTAGAACCACAGAACTAGGGTTCTGTGGGTCTTAATGGGGGAGGGAAGCCCATGCACATTTGTTCACACCAAACGCGGAGCAGATCCAGAGCAGGTGCAGACCAGATCAAAACTGCGGCCAATGTATTCCTATGGTATTTTTTGCTCCAGTTCACATCGCAGCGTGCAGTTGCAGAGCAGGTGAAAAAACTGCAGCACGCCCTATTTTATCTTCTCTGGAACGCATCAAAAACGCATGCCAATGCCTGGAACGCACTGAAAGCCCATTTTAAACTTTAAAAAAAATTATCATTTTTTTTTACCAAAAAGAGCCCGGAACGCATCAAAAACGCATCTAAAAGACTAGCGTGCGTGTGCAGAAACCTGACCGGATCTGCTCTGCATTTGGTGTGAACAAGGCCTAAAGGCGAAAAGGTCTCCTCAGATCACAGGTACCAGAATAAATCCAGGAGGAAAGAGAAAAAGGACATAGTGCGTAACGTCCAATAAAATGCAAATTTATTAAATAAAAACTGCGTACTGACAATGGTAGAAACAGTACAGGCGTTGGGTATTGCTGGATCAAACCAGCAAGGCAAATGGCAGCAAAGCGATGAAAACGCCCGTTCGTCCGGCTCAGTGCAGTGGCGTCGGAAGCTCCGCCCTAATTGTAATAATGTTGTTTAATAGAGATATGAAGGAAATCACTTACATAAGTATTTGCAGTTTTTATAGTTTATATCATATAAAGGCCAGAAGGAGATCTGCGTGTTTTTCTTAATATCGCTCTCCTGTGCTGTTTGTTATTATAGATGATCCTCGTATTATAAGGTGGATTTTTATCTCTGCTCTGATTTGTTTTGGCAGCACGTAGCAGATGAGTGTCCTGGAACGCTCCTCATGTTCATCTAGCCGGACGGGGTCAGAGTCGGGTCTAGAAGCGGGGCCCTTCCACCACCTCACCGCCTGTCCTTCAGGATGCCCACCGTGCCCGGAAACCAGGACCTGGCGGCGGATGGCCTTCACCCACCTACCTCTGCACCAGCGAGGGTGAGTGACCATTTACTTGTCTTTTCACCTCACAGATTAGAATGAGAAATATATATGTGTGTGTGTGTGTGTGTGTGTATATGTGTGTGTGTGTGTGTGTATATATATATATATATATATTATATATAGGTGACGAGGGAGCATGGAGCCGGCTTCCCGGCCAATCAGGAAGCAGGGCAGCGTGTAATGACTTGATACTAGAAGCTCAGGTATCGGGCTAGGCATCGGAGCATTTGGGTGAGTACATAGATCTGGCTGTAGATCCTCCAATCATCTCTGAATTGGTGCTGACACCGTCCTTCCTTCTGGAGGGGGGCTACTTTTTGTTCCCCATGGTCCCTGTGTGTGTGTTGTAGAGTAGTCACCGCTCCAAGCTCTCTCCTGTGATGGACTACAATCTCATGTTTTAGTTTATTCATTTGTATTGAAATTATAGTCCATCCGGGGAGCGAGCTTGGAGCGGTGACTAGGGATGCACCGATAACTGATACTAGTGTCGGTATCGGTGCCGATACCGATTTTTTGAGCGAGTACTTGTACTCTCCCAAATGCTCCAATGCCTAGCTCCATACCCAACCTCTGGGTATCAGGAAGCCGGGCAATGAGTCATTACCTCGACCTAACCACTGAACCATCACATTCTCAAATAATTCATCCCCACACAGCTCCCTCCTCATGTATCATTTCCCCTCCTCTTTTAGATTGTAAGCCCTCAGGGGCAGGGCCCACCTTACCATCTTGTCTTGAATTGTATTGTGATTGTAATGTCTTCCTTATATTGTAAAGCGCTGCGCAAACTGTTGGCGCTATATAAATACTATGTAATAATTACACGCTGCCCGGCTTCCTGATTGACCGGCAAGCCGGCTCCTTCCTCCCTCGTCACTTGGTGGCGAGAGAGCAAGGAGCCAGCCAGCGGCGTCCCGAGGCTGGGTGACACTCAGAGCGGTAACCGAGTGTCACCCCGCCGAGACGTCACTGCGCATGCCCGTGACGTCACAACGCGCATGCGCGATGACGTCATTGCACACGCGCGGCAGTATTCTGATACCTGCCGGCGGCCATCTTGGTGATGGACGCCGGCAGAGAGAGGAGGGGACAGTCACCCGGCGGGATAAGGTATGCCGCCGGGTCCCCTGTTCTCTCCTGATACTGTCGGGCTTTCGGTCCATGACCGAGCGCCCGACTTTTCAGAGGGGGGTGACACCAAAATGACTGTGAGTCATTTTGGTGTCACCCCTCCAATGGTGGCACCCGGGTGCGGGCCGCACCCCCGCACCACCCTTGTGACGCCACTGGAGCCAGCTTCCCAGCCAATCGGGAAGCCGGGCAGCGTGTAATGACTCGCCGCCTAGTTGCTCATTGGTTGGAAAGCTGGCCAATCAGGAAGCCGGACTTCGAGTTATTACCCGCCCCCTGGCTTTCCGATTGACCAGAAAGCCGCCTTCAATGGATGTAGCCTGTTTCCCAGCCAATCAGGAAACCCAGGCGCCGTGTAATGACTCATTGCCCGGCTTCCTGATTGGCCAGCTTCTCGAACAATCAGGAAGCCGGGCAACGAGTCATTACGCGTCGCCCTCTTTCCTGATTGGCCAGAAAGCCAGCTCTTGTCACCTGGTGATGATGGAGCGTGGAGACGGCTTCCCTGCTAATCGGGAAGCCGGGTGGCGAGTCATCACACGCCACCTGGCTTCCTTAACGGAACTTCCGGTATTCGGTATCAGCGAAAAATATCGGTACTCGATACCGAAAAACCAGTAACGGAACTAAAGAAAAAAAAAAGCGTTTTGGCTTTATATACACTCCACCTAAGCATGTTGGGATATGTAGTTCTTGTGGCTTTGCACAATGGGACTTGTTATTCTTCACATAGGCCAGGCTGGGACTTGTAGTCCTGTATGTCTAAAGCAGTGGTTCTCAACCTTTCTAGGGCCGGGACCCCTTGGTAACATTTGCCAAGTTGTGGTGACCCCCAACGTTAACATTTAGGGTTGACACGGCTGCTGCAGCGACACCTGGCGGCGTGGCGGGAGAACTGACACTGCTGCGCTAGGAGAGGGATGAGGAGGACTCTCACCGAGCACAGCAGAAATCACACAGCGACCCCACAGGTTGAGAACCACTGCTGTAACAGCTAAAATGGCAAACCATATAACACAAGCCGAGGGTGTCAGCTTTTATTATTAATAATAATGATGATAATCACTAGATGGGGACCTGATGGAGAACTGCAGGTCCCCCTCTGCTGATTGACAGCAGCAGTGGGCGGGTGCAATAGCTAGTTTGCTATTGCAAAGTGAAATAGCCAATAGGAATGTAGCTATGCATTCCAATGCTGATTTCTTTATTTTTTTCTGACTCGGAGCCGGGGCTCCGATGTCAGAAATAAAAAAACGTTCGCAGCGAAAGGTTTACTCTGCTCGATCGGGCAGATTAAACCTTTCCAGGAGAAAGTGTTTCTCTCCCGGGCGGCCGGGAGCCGCTATCTAATAGCGGGAGACTCCCGGCGACCCCTGGCAAATTGTCATTCGACCCCCGAAGGGGTCCCGACCCACAGGTTGAGAACGGCTGGTCTAAAGGATTGCAGATTTCACAGCCCTTTTACAGACATCATTGGAAGGTTTTTCTGTTTCCTTCGGAATGAATTCTAGTCATGTGATCTGGTTTTAATTTACTGTTATGTGGCGCAGAACCTAAATTCAGCCGCATTCCTCCCCATTTCCCAGTAAATAAAATGATCGGGATTCACTTTTGGCTGCGATTCCATTATCTGCGCAGGCGGGATTCCACTTCACAGTTCAACACATCCGCACGATTCCTTTTTTTTCTTTTCCTTTCCTATGACTGGAAGAGCGGAACACACAGAGGGGCCGTCACGTACTTCCCACACTTATCATGTCTTCATTTTTTATGGTGATTTGGGGGTCAGCAGAACAGAAGGAGCGAAGGAGCGCACAGAACACGCTCTTCTTAAAGAGGAAGTGTTATTCTTATCAATGGAGCGTAGAACAGACTTCCACGGCTCTGTTTACGGGGGAACTTTGGTCTGGTGGAAAAGCGGGATGTGATTTTTTTTTTTTTTTTTTTTTTATGTGAAGAACAATTTACATCGCTTGGGCCTTCCTTAAAGTGTATTTCCACTTTGGCGGCCAGATTGGGATAACACCGACTTTATATTTGTTACATGATTCTCAATTCACATGTATATATACACTGACCAGCAATGTAATGGGGGTTATATACACTGACCAGCAATGTATCGGAGGTATATACACTGACCAGCAATGTATCGGAGGTATATACACTGACCAGCAATGTAACGGAGGTATATACACTGACCAGCAATGTAATGGAGGTATATACACTGACCAGCAATGTAACGGAGGTATATACACTGACCAGCAATGTATCGGAGGTATATACACTGACCAGCAATGTAATGGGGGTTATATACACTGACCAGCAATGTAATAGGGGTTATATACACTGACCAGCAATGTAACGGAGGTATATACACTGACCAGCAATATAACGGAGGTTATATACACTGACCATCAATGTAACAGAGGTATATACACTGACCAGCAATGTAGCGGAGGTATATACACTGACCAGCAATGTAACGGAGGTATATACACTGACCAGCAATGTAATGGGGGTTATATATACTGACCAGCAATATAATGGAGGTATATACACTGACCAGCAATGTAATGGAGGTATATACACTGACCAGCAATGTAACGGAGGTATATACACTGACCAGCAATGTAATGGGGGTTATATACAATGACCAGCAATGTAATGGGGGTTATATACACTGACCAGCAATGTAATGGGGGTTATATATACTGACCAGCAATATAATGGAGGTATATACACTGACCAGCAATGTAATGGAGGTATATACACTGACCAGCAATGTAACGGAGGTATATACACTGACCAGCAATGTAACGGAGGTATATACATTGACCAGCAATGTAACAGGGGTTATATACACTGACCAGCAATGTATCGGAGGTATATACACTGACCAGCAATGTAACGGAGGTATATACACTGGCCAGCAATGTAATGGGGGTTATATACACTGACCAGCAATTACATTAATATGATTGAGGTTTCTGAATTAGCGTAGACGCAGCATTTGCTGGATTACAGTAGATTTGTTTAATTTTTTTCCTGCAATGCCTCTTGAAAGTAAATATATAAATATAACAGTCGAGGCTATTTTCAGTGGGGGGGGCCAGTGGCCCCTATTCTAATTTGGTTGCCTCTGTCTACCTGACATCTTGTGTCTGAGTTTCAGCTGTTATGAAACCCAGACACAACACTCAAAACCCGGACTGTCCGGGTGGATCCCGGACAGGGGACAACCCTACGTATTAGGCATTGTAAGACTCTGACAGCCACAGGCATGATTCCCAGGGGCCTACCCTTGATTTGGAGTGTTGCTCTGGAATGCAAATTGTTTTTAAGTCCCATCATACAGTCTCCTGTTATGACATCAGCATTGTAATAGGAATACATAGTGGAGTTGTTTCTGGTAATGCAATCAAAGCTTACTAGAAAAAAAATCCCTTTTATGTAGTGAGTGCTGCCTTACGTCTGCCCGTCACTTCCAACAACTTCCTGGATTCCCAGTGTGCTTTGCATCTCTTTCCCTGCTGCTTGATATGATGCAATCTCCATTTCTCAAGACTACACATCCCATCATGTACCGGCCCGGATTCCCCACAAGGCCACCGAGGCCTGGCCTCGGGGCGGCAGGGCGCAGAGGGGCGGCAGCGGTGTCCTTGTGGGGAAGTTGCCCTCTCTACATTTAGTCCTGCTTTGTACAAGCCGAGCTCAATGTAGAGTGAGGCAGCTGATTGTTCGTTTACATGTGAACTTGGCGATGTCGCCGAGATCACATGTAAACAGTCTGTAGCGTCCTCCCCTCCCCCCTGCACTTACCTCTCTCCTCGCTGGCTCCGTCCTCCGGGCTCCGCCGCCGAGTCCGTCTCCTCACTGCAGTGAGCGGCAGGGTTAAAGGTAACCCTGCCGCCCGTGTAGACAGTGAGAGGGGAGAGCTGTGCTGTGCTGTGCTGCGCTGCGCTCTTCCTCTCTCACCTGTCACAGGAGTTCCAGCACAGCGCTGCGCTAGAACTCCTGTATTGGAGGTGACAGGGTCAATAAAGAGAACCTGTCACCTCCAATTGCTATCACACAGGGGATTGTTTT